TAACAGTTGCACACCATGGCCAAACTGCCCTTCCTGGAAGGCTTGGTCTCAGAAGTAGCGCCCTACAGAGAGTTGAAGGCCGGCTTCTGGCTCTGACCCCATGATCTGAAATGATGATGGAGCACTGAGTTGTGGCCTGACCCCTCTTCTGCCATACAGCAAGCAGCTGGGGTAAACAGAGCTTCGGCTCTCCCAGTGTGGTTATGCAACTTGGAGTAACAGATGGGAAAAGCACAGACTTGGAGTCAGAATGTGCTCGGATCTGAGGCCCAGCTTCATTCATGAGCAAATGTTCTGACCCTATTTCTTTCTTACCTGTAATGGAGATAAGACTGTAGACTGTACCAGGCAGATAAAAATTTGTAAAATGCCAGGTCAATGCTTAGCACATGGTAGCTGTTATTGATGTCACTGCATACTTCTTGGGAGATCCTGGATCCTGTGTCAAGGAAGATAAGATCATCTCCCACCCTAAGAACAGTTTGAAGGGAGCTTTGCATCTGTGCCAGCCCTCTGCGCCGGAGGAGGATGTATGGAAGGGTAGAGACCTGATGGGCTAAGTCAGAGATCCTGGGGCACTATGTCCTATGAATGCTGCCCTGGGAAGAGGGTATGGGCAGGCAGCCCAGGCCAGCACAGGGGCCTTTGGGTTGGGTTTGACCATTAAAACTAATGCCTTCATTTCTCTCCCATGCTTTCTCCTCCGGCCAGGAGCGGAAGGTACTTGCCCTTTCTGCTTTCTTCGCTTCTTAGCGCTTTTGATTGTGTGTGTGTGGATTCTTATGTCCTCCTTTTGGGAACTAGGTTTCCTTGAGGGGCATGGGGCCATAGCTGGGAGAGTGGGCTTTATGGGGCAGGGGTGGAGCCTTTGGGCCTTACCCCCCCTCCCTCCCTCTCTTGCAGGTTTTCATAGAGCTGAATCACATTAAAAAGTGCAATACAGTTCGAGGCGTCTTTGTCCTGGAAGAATTTGGTAATTACACTATTTTGCTCTTAGGTCTGGACTCACATGGCAGTAACTCAAACCTTGGAGCTCCAGAGGAGGGACTAGGCACAGGGGGACTAGGCACCTCTGCAGAGAGGTCAGGAGGAGCAGGAGCGACAGGGAGAGAATGGAGCCCTGAGAAGACAGAATGGAAAGGAGAAAGACAGGAATAGCCTGTGGTCCCTGAAGAGCAGGGAGCCTTGAACAGGGTTAGAGTTAGGATGGTAGTGATGTAGTGCCTCCTTTCCTGGTTTGGCCAGTCAGTGGTCAGAAAGTTCTGGGGCAGAACAAACTGGTGATCCTTAGGCTCTATTGTGTCCATGTTGCCTGCTGCCATCTCTCTAGGAGCCCAACAGTGTCCCACCCAGCCCCCCTGGTACCACGCTGGGTTCCGCCTGGCCTCTGTTCTCGAGGAGGGCGTGAGGCAGCCCAGGTACTCAGCTGGGGCCAGAGAAGCCTCGTGGGCCTCAGAGGCAGTCGGGGCGGGTGTATGTGGAACCAGCCTCCCCACACAGGAACTAAGGAATGGTGTAGTGGGTCCACCCTGGGGCTTTGAGCTCCTGCTGTGTTTGTGCTTCATTCTTTTGTGCCCCTCATCGCTGCTATGAAAACCTTCGTTCTCCAGCAGGTAAAGTGACCTCGGCTCGTGCTGCCTTTCCCCAGGCCCCAGCCTCGGGCTGCAGGGGGTGGGTGGGCCCCTCCCAGCCAACCTAGCTGCTTACATGGCCAGTGGTCTCTCCTTCCTCTCCCCTTCCTCTTCCTTCCCAGTGCCCCTCCCACCTGTGCTGGCTCACTGCTCTGAGTTCTCTCTTCACTTCCCTCCTCTCTTCTGCCAGAGAGATACTTGGAGAACTCTTCCAACTCAGGAGAATGATCTGGGGCTTCTTGCTCTGCCTTTGATGAGTTGATTTCATGCTAACTCTGGGTTCTGGGTATTCTACCTCCCAGGGTCAGAAGAAGGTGTGGCCAACTCTCATTCCGCCCCCAGCCCTGGGGAGGTGCCATGCCCCCCTCCCAGTCTCAACAAGGCCACACTGATGGCTGGACCTGGGGGACCCTACTCCTTCCTCTGGCCGGGTACAGACCCTGCATGGCTGGGATGGGTTGACTCTTAATCTTGCATTCTGGGCTGTGGATGTGTGTATTTGCCTGATGCTCCCCGTCACTTCCACCTGGGTGCTGTACTCGCCTTTCTCTCCTGCTCAGTGTGTCTGCTCCAGAGCCCTCTGACGCTCTCCCTCACACAGGCAGGCCCAAGATTCTCCTGCCTCACAGGGAAGGACACTTCTAAGTCTGATGATGGGTTTAGTATTACTTCATACAAACTTATGACCCTCTGTGTGGGGCTTGTGGGAGGAAGGATGAATGATATGATGACTAGATTTGGGGGGCTCTGTTGACAAGGATGAGTTCATGGGCATCTCAGCAAAGTGAGGCACAGGCTAGCGACCACTGTCTTCCCTACTGCAACTCCTCAAAAGCCCTGGACAGTAGGTGTGACCAGGTGGGAGAATGGCCAGCCCTTCCACCTTGGGGCACCCATAGAGTTGTGTAGACCCCAGCCGCAGCAGACTTCAGATGTCTGTTTGAGGAGTCTGGCTGGACAGAGTGGCTGTCCAGACAGACACTCTGCTCTGTCATAGCCTAAGCCGCCACAGCCACTGTGAGAGGACACAAGGGAAGGGAGCGTGGTACCGGGCGCTGCCGCCTGGGGGAGTATGACACAGTTGCTTTTAGTTTTGAACTTTCTGTTTTGTCTCTTTGCCCGTCCGGTTTTAGTTCCTGAAATTAAAGAAGTGGTGAGCCACAAGTACAAGACACCAATGGTGAGTATGCTGCTCAGCCACAACAGGCCAGAGTGCACAGGGCTCCCTGGGAACCTTCGGACAGGAGGGGTGGACCCTCTTTGGGGAGTGGTCTAGATGCCGACGGTTCAACTCAAGCGGAAATACATCTTTCATCCCGGAAGGTGTACGGTGATGAGCCCCTCTCCCAGGAGAAAAGCCTCCAACCCAGAGGCCTGTCCTAGTGTTAGGGCAGGCCTTGTAGTCTGGGCTGACTCTCCATCTGTGAAGGTACAGGAGTCTCAGCGTGGCTGATCTCCTGGTCTTCTGTCCCCTGTAGGCCCACGAGATCTGCTACTCTGTGTTGTGTCTCTTCTCATATGTGGCTGCAGTCCGTAGCAGCGAAGAAGACCTCCGAACCCCACCTCGGCCTGTTTCTAGCTGATAGAGAGGGTTACACAGCTGTCCCAGCCCCGGGGTCACCCTCACCTCTTGCTGCTCCTCAGCACCGAAGCTGCTGTGCTTGAAAGGGGGATGGTGTGTGTGTGTGTGTTCTCTGCAAGCCCAGTTTTATGTCTGAGTGTGTCTTTGCGTTCGTTCTGTTATGGGGCTAAGCTAGTCCCGTTACCTTCTCTTCCTCCAATACCAGACTAGCCTACTGTCCCTCAGGGCTCCAGACTGTGTGTGTGTGTCTATGGGGCCACTGTGAGCCCTCTGTTGTGTGTCCTTGCGATGTTTGCACTGTGGTTCCATGTCCTTGTCCTTATACCGTCCAGTCTAAGGATCTTCTCCATCCTCTATGATTTGGCACTATAGGGCATCTGGGACAGTTCCACTCTGGGAAGGGAGAGACACTTGGGGACAGCCTTCCCGGCTGAGGGTTGGGGAGGAGGAAGGGAGCATTCAAGGGAAGCTGGAGTAAATGGCAACCTTCTTGCTTCCTCACACAATTCCTAACCTGCGGCTGCAGGTCATGCTGCCCGCCCCAGCTCCATCGATGGGTGTTCCTGCGTGACTGCCATATGCTGAGCTGGGATTTTTGCAGTGGTCTTCCTGGCCTTTGGCATGAGAGGACAGAGGGTGGCATGATGTGTTCCCGAGAGCACCAGCTACTCTGCCGGGAATGGCTGGGTCAGGGCCGAGTTGAGTTCAGCATGCAGGCGTGTCTGCAGACAGTGTCTCTTGGCTTCAGTGCCAGAAGGAGGACATGGACTGGGCAGGAGAAGGATGTAAATATTTCAGCTCCACGTTATTTATAGGAAAATGTACAGCTGTGTCATGTGAAATAAATGTCTTTAACTCTGCTTGAGCTCCCGGGCTTCCTTGAATAAAATAACACTTCCTTTCAGCTCAGACCCGAGGAAGGCTGTGCCCAGGTCGTCCACATCCAGGGTCTGGCTTACTGAGGCCCTGCTCTGGCTTTCTCCTTTCTGGGCTTCCCGGGACGCCAGGAAAGTTTCAGGCTGTAAAGGCCTGGAGTGCTCTGGCCACCAGGGGAGGAGGTGAGCTGGGCATCCATCCCTGAACAGCTTGATAAAAATCACAGGAAAACACAGGTGCTACTCTACATTCCCTAACAAGTGTGATCAGGTGTGTCGTGATATGCCCCGGCCTCCACGGGGCCTGCGGTCCAGGGCTCTGTGCTCTTGGCCAAGTGTGCGTCTTACTTTGAGTAGAATGTAAAGTGGTGGTCCAGGTCAAACCTTCATGGGGCATCCATGCCGCAGGAAACCCTGAACACCCACTGAACCACCATGACACTTCTGAGACCTGCTGGACACAAGATTTGTAAGGACAAAGAAGGTTGTGATGTCCTGTCTGAGCTGGATGGAGTCATGCTTTCCTGTGTGAGACGTGGGTCTTAATGTAACCAGTGCAGCACAGGACTCCACTACCTTGCCCACCGTACAGCACCCAGCTGCCATGACCTGGGTTCCAGGAGGGAGGCTCATGGCTGTGCCAACAAAGGAACACCTATGGCTGCTCTTTCCATACTTTTGGGGAGACTCATATCCTCAATAGTGCTAATCAATGTCTCATAAATACAGGAAATTGTGTTCCCCTCTTTGGACAATGGCGTGCCTGCTAAGACCAAGCAAATGCCTATCTGCTTTCCTGTGGGGTGAACATGACGGACAGGAAACATCAGCCTCTGTGACAGCACTGATCTTTTATTGCCTTTACACAATGAGCCAGCCAGAAGGGCCTGTCCCCAGTCACCATTTCTGGGACCCACACACTTTATGCCCCCAAGATCAACAGCACTCCTGAGGAGCTCTGACGTCACTTTCCGCAGAGCCCAGCAGAGCTGCTTGGCATAACTGCTGAGAAGTCAGTCCTTCCAGTCCAGGATGCACACTTGCACACACATTCACACATGCAGTAGCGGAAAGGGGCACTCCTCCAGCTCCCTCTGGTACATAGGCTGGCACCCAGTTGCACCTGTAGCACAGGCTGACTTGTGAGTGAACAGAGGCCCCTTGAACCCCCATTTCCCGATAGCCATCCTAGGCCCTTAGTCTCAGGTGGTTTGGAATACATACCTAAGCCATCCCTGGGGAGCCAGCCTGGTTACTGAGGAACTGTAAGAGGCAAGGAGACAAGCCCTTTGTCTTCCCACTCTTCCAGAGGCCAAGATCCACTGAACATGCCAGGGTCGGCGCTCTAGCAGCCACAGGTGCTGCCTGGGCAAGGCGGCAGAGCCACGCCAGGGTCCCTGCTACTGTCCTGCTTTCCCCAAGCCCCGGCCCAGAAGGCTCCTCACCTCGCACCTCCAAGCGGCACTCACACTGTGCCTCGCCCTGCAGGTTGGTGGCTCTGCAGACATAGACCCCTCCATCGTAGGGGCAGGGCTTTCTGATCTCCAGGGTCAACACTCCCTGTTTGCTGAACATGCGGAACCGGGCATCTTCTCCCAGGTCCAGGCCATTCTTGAACCAGGAAATCTTGGGCTGTACATCAAGTAAAAAGAGGGAGAGAAGGAAAGCATCTTGGTGAGCGGCAGTGGTGGGAATTCAGAGGGACTATTCTAGAGGTTCCCACTGGAGCACCAGACTCAGCCCAAGGCTGAGAATGAACACAGAGCCGACATAAGGACGTCGGCCCCATTCAGGGGGAAGACTGGAAGATAGCCAGAGATGGGGCAAAGATGGTATACAAATTGGGGAAAGGACTACCCAAGGGGAGTCTAGTGTGCCAGCCTCCTGTCAGGCTAGCCCAGGACCTTGAGTCTCTCTCTACCTTAGGACTGCCCCGGACAGCGCAGCAGAGGATGGCATTATAGCCTGCAATGATGGAACGGTTTGCCAAGGGCTGGGTGAAGCTTGGAGCCTCAGAGAAGTCCAGGGCCTTGTACTTGGGCGGCTCATACGCGATGCCTGTTGGCAACAGGGTTTGGTACCAACCGGATCACCCCAAGCTCGGCTTCCCTCCCTTCCCCAGCTTCCCCGCAGTGGGAGCGAAGGTACAGCACCTGGTCTTGGGATAAAGACAGGCTCCTTGGTGGCAGCGGCTCTGTCGCTGGAACCCACCATGTTGTGGCTGAAGACCCGGAAGTAGTAGCCGTTGCCAATGACGAGCTCCGACACCACACACTGAGTGCGACGGTAATGCTCCAAAACGGTGAACCACTCCTGGAGGGCGTGAAGGAAGGCTCTCTGAGGGGCCTCTGCCTTTCTCGGGTACCCCTGGTGCCTCCAAACCAGACTAATGAATCGGGGGGCAAGGGTAAGGGGAGGGCTGCTGGACCTATGTGGAGGCCCCCAGGCTCACCATGGTCTTCTTGTCAGCTTTCTGCACAGCATAACCCCAGATCTCTGCATTCCCATCATCTTGGGGTGGCTTCCACTCCAGAGCCACATTGAAACCCCAAGTCTCGATGACCCGGAGATCCTGGGGAGGGCTTGGCTTGTCTGCAGGAAACAGATCTGATTGGATCACTGGACATCCTGAAGCTGCCCGAGCAGAAGCGGGGAGGGGGGGCGGGGTGCTAGCAAACAGGAGCCCCTCCGTCTAGCCACCTTCTGCAGGGGTTCTGAGCCGGGCTCCTAGGCTCAGGGACAGGAGACAAGCGTACTGAAAGGGAGGCTCCAGGGCCACCTACCCACAATCTCCAGGACCAGTGTGGCCTTGTCCTCCATGTTCTCAATGCGGACTGTCACCTGGTAGGTGCCAGAGTGGGCGCGGCGGGCGGCTCGGATGAACAGGATGGTGTCTGTGGGGCTGTTGCGGATGCTTACCTCCTCGCCTGCCAGTGGCTGCCCCTCTTTGGTCCAGGTCACTTGAGGCCGGGGTTTGCCCTAGGGGAGGTCAGCCAGCCCAACCCTGAGCTTCAGTCTCCACGAGGGTCGATGGCCCCAGGAGATCCTTTCTCTGTGGTTCCTCCTTCGGGATGGGGAAGGGGTCAACCTACCTGGAAAGGGATGAGGAGGTTCACAGGCTCCCCAACTTTCTTCTGGATGGTCTGGCGCAGGTGTCTGGGCAGTTGGAGCCGTGGTCGTTCTGTGGTAGGAGGGGGGCAGTTCAACAAGGGCCCTTCTAGAGTCCAGCCCTAATGATCCCACAGGTCCAGTCTCTTGAGGCAGGGCCCAGGGCTGTACTGAAAAGGAAGCTGCCCTGGGCAGGCCGCCCTCCTAACCCACCAGCAATTCCCGTGTGCGACACACTAAATGCCGTACACCGAGCCTTGGGATACTGCTATCATTGGGGGGAGGGGGAGGGTTCACTTTTTAGATTTATTTATGTCTATGGGCATTTTGCCTGTGTTTATGTGTGTGTACCAAGAGAGTACCTAGTACTTGTAGAGGTCAGAAAAGGGCCGTGTGTCCCCTGGAACTGGAGTTATGAATGGCTGTGAGGCACGCATATGGATGCCAAAGACCGAACTCTGGTCCTCTGCAAGAGCAGCAAGCACTCTTAACTGCTACATCATCTTTCCAGCCCTTGTTTTGTTTTCCAAGGAAGGGCTCACAGAGCCCAGACTGGTCACAGACGTCTCATCCTCCTGCCTCCACCTCTAAGTGCCAGGATTACGGGTGTACGCCACTATGTTCAGCTGCACTGAGCATAGAGGGTAAGGATGAGGGTAAGGAAGTTACTTAGAGTGACCCATCTTGTAAAATGTGAGTAAAGGGTGTGGTTCTAGGCTTCTGGGACCTCTTCCCAGGACTTCAGTTTGTTGCTTCTTTCCAACCTAGAGAACCAATCCTTCCACCTTTGTTGAGGTAAAGAACGGGAGAATGAACCAGGCACGAGTGGCACACACCTTTAATCCCAGCTCTCTGGAGGCAGAGGCGGTCTGTAAGTTTGAGGCCAGCCAGGACTACATAGAGACCATGTCTCAAACAACAACAACAAAAACAAGCAACAGAAGAATGGAAAGTGTGCCTCGAGTGACCCTAAGTGGCCCTGAGGAGCCTCACTGTCCAGTTCTGTGGACTGTACCTGTGTGCTGGAGCTGACAATGAGGACATGGAAGCTTTAGCCTACATTGTTCCTGCTCCAGAACTAGGGGCTGATGGGAAAACCAAAAGAGCCCAAGGCAGAGATGGAGGCTCTGACCCTTTCTGCCCCCGCGCCTGCCCACTAAAGCCCACGCCTCTGGCAGGCTCTCCTCGATTGGGAAAGGAAAAGTGTCGGGCCCTGTAGCAGGAGGGCACTCACGCAGTATCTCCCGCACGGTCACTGGCTCCTTGGTGATGACAGGGGCTCCAGGCCCTGCCACATTGTGTGCCCGCACCCGGAACAGCAGCCGTGCTCCAGTGGGGAGGTCCTTCACCAGCAGCGAAGTGCGCTCCGTCAGCCCCTGCTGAGCAGCTTTCCACTCAGAGCCTGGGTGTGGGCACCGAGGGGGAGAGGCAAAATCACACCTCACTTCGCTAGCACCTTCTGAGGGCCGGCCAGAGTCCAGCAGGGTGTTGAGGCTGGCCCGGGGGCAGTACTCACAGCCTTCTTGGCAGTACTCCACACTGTAGCCATCCAGGCCCCCTGCCCCCACACGCTCTGGAGGCCGCCACTTGAGGGACACGGTGGTGTCGGACACATCCTCCACACTCAGGTGGTTTGGTTCACCGGGGGGGCCTGCACAGAGACAGGTAAAGAGGGTCTGAGTGCCAGGCAGGGAAGATGCCATGCGTATCCAGGACCTCAGCTGTCCACTAATCTCCTAGCCAGGGCTTCCCTTCTGCTGACTTCCAAGCCCTTCCAGGGAACACTCCATCTGCATTAATACACGTCTCTGGATTGACTCACAAACCAAGAGCAGTTATGAAAGAAGGACTCAAAAGAGAGCCTGGGAGCCAAGAGGACACGAGGAGGCGGAAAGAACTCGCCTTTCAGTGTAAGCAGTGCTACAAGAGTAAGAGAAAGCCAAAAGCTATCCTGAAATGAGGGAATTTCCTGGCCAAGTACAGTCAGGTGAGTTACACAAACCAGAAATTAGTTCCTGGGGGGAAAAAAAAAAGCTGCAGGATGGTGTTGTGACTCATCCATTGTAGGGGCTTGTTTCTCTTGCAGAGGACTAGGGCTCAGTTCCCGGCACCCATGTGGCGACTCACAGCCTCCTGTAACTCCATTTCCAGGAGATCTGATACCTACTTGTGGCCTCAGAGGGGTGGCATGTGTTTTCAATCCCAGCACTGGGAAGGCGGAGGAAAGTGGATCTCTGCGAGTCTGAGGCCAGCCAGGGCTACGTAAGTGAAATCCTGTCTCAAAACAGGGAGAGGTGTAGCTCGCACTCACTAGAGTGTCCGTTCTACCAGTGAGGCGACCCTGAGGTCATTCAACTTGTCCAGCCTGAGTTTCCTCATCTGTAATGCAAGACAAGTGTGCGCACGCACACCACTACAGACCATGCCTGCAAAGGCCTGACGCAGAGGTCACCCATCAGCTAAGAGGCTGCTACCATCCGCCCCTTGGCCCAGGGCATTCTGGGAGTTGAGCGTATTCACCAATAGGCATGAAGGACTGAGAGGCAGGGCTGGGCCTGGACATTCCCACAGCGTTGACCGCGTAGACCCTCATCTCGTAGGCTACGCCCTCGATCATGCGCCTGGCCTCGTGGCTCAGCTCCTTCAGCAGGTCGAAGTTGAGCCGCATCCACCGGTAGCTCTTCTTCTTCTTGCGCTCCAGGATGTAACCTGGGAGAGGAGAGGAGAGCTCGGGTCTGTGGCCCTTCGCTCGGGGAACAGCAGCCTTTGGGCCGTCCCTGCGCCCTGGCACTCACCCAGGACCGGCTGCCCACCGTCATAGGCAGGCGGTGCCCACTGCACGGTGCAGGAGTCCTCGCCCACGTTGCTGATGGTTGGGGCTGCCGGAGCGTCTGGCACATCTGGGTGGGGAAGGGGAACCGCGTCAGCTCTGGCCCGAGGCCTCGCCCACCCCTTCTCTTCACCACCCCATCTACCCCACCACCAACAGAGTCAATGTAACCTAGAATCTTACTCCTGATGGCCCACTGTTCGTTGTCACCTCGTGGCCCGGCTCCAATGGGCTACATCCGCCTGACCCCACCCAGGCCTCCAGAACACAATGATTTGTCCTAGGCTCGTTCCTCCCAGAGAACTGTCAGTGCCACACACACTGACATGTCTACACATCCATCTCCCCTTCAGCCAGGGCTCCTCTCGGGCAGAAAAAAAAGTCCCAGTCATTACCACTGCCTGCTTTAGAGTGTCCCCTTAGGGTGCTAATGGTTGAATAACTAAATGGTGAGTAGCTGATGGGCACTCCCCAGTGTTCTGTGAACAGATGGGCCCCTCTGTAGTGGCCTGTGCTCTCCCGCCGGGAGCTCACCGATGACCTTGACTGTGAGGTTGACCTGGTCCTCCCCCACGGGGTTCTTTACTGTGACAGTGTAGACGCCTTCGTCTTCCTTCTCCGCCCCTTCAACTGTGAAGACACTGCGGTCTTTAGTGGTCTCCACGCGGACCCTGCCCTCAGACTCACACAACAGCTGAAAGGGGGAGAGAGAGAGAGAGAGTTGGGGTCAAGGCCCAAGTCAGACCCCAGCCTGCACAGTAGCCATCAGCCCTTCGCTGAGAGGGAAGGTCAGTTCAGGGTCTGTGGGAGGTGTGGGGTACAGCCTGGGTGCAAACCGCACCCCTGAAAATGATTAGTTTCAGTGTGACACCACAGGCGTGACACAGGCCAGGGGCTCAGACTCTAGTTTTATCACGGAACGTAGCCCCTTGTGTGTCAGTTTCCCTGTCTGTCAAGTGGGAAGAATGTGACTCCCACAGAGCTCTTGTGAAGCTTCAGGAAGACCACCAGACCAGCAGCGACACAGAGGAGAGAGACAGAACTGGGCCATGCCAGGCAGCTGCCCTGGCATCAGAGTGTGAGGGAATCCACTCGCACACAGCCAAGGTCAGCCCTAGGGACACACGATCTCAGACCAATAAGGAAGTGTCCTTCCTGCTGGCTAGCATTCAGAGAGTCAGGGGAGCTGTGCAGGTTGTTCGGGGAGAAAAGTTATCAACGGGCTTACTTGCACTGAAGCCTGCATGCCAAGATACCAGCCTGGCAGGCAAGGGGTCCCTGGTGCCCTGGCATGGCTCTGTTAGGATCTGAGGCCTGCTCCACAGAAGGGAATGCTGTGTCTGCTACAGTAATCCTGATCAAAAGCGCCTATGGCTGAGGAGATCATAGGCCCCAGAGCTGAGCCTGCCATTGTTATTTTACTAAATGGTCACATCGTCTGTCGATTGCCTTCTAAAGGTTTATGACTCTACCCCAGAGAACGTATGAGCTAGGGGATGGGAAGAGTGCCGTGAAATGCCACCTTCTGGCCTCGCCACCACTGTGGCAGTCGCCTGTGGCTGCCTGCACTTGGTAAAGCCAGCTAGAAGTCTGAGGCAGTGGAGGCGGTGCTCTCTGAGGCCCACCCTGACTGAGGCGCTGTTGGGAGGAGGTCGCTGGTAGGTTGCTCTTGCTCATGGGTGGGCACAGACTCAGGCACGTTTCGGCAGCCCAAATTGAACTCAGTGTGTTAGAGAAAAATGAAAAAGTGAGCACTCCTGAGGCAGAGGCAAGCGGGTGTATGAGTTCTGAGGCCAGCCTGGTCTACTCGGGGAGTTGCATGTCAGCCAGAGCTGCATAAGGCCCTGTCTAGAAAAAGAAGAGGAGAAGGGAAGGGATATCAGGAAGGGATATTGGGAGTTGGAGGGTTAAAATGGCAGGCATGCTCATATTTCATCGTGAATATGTATTAAATTTTCAAGAATAAAGGAAAATATTACTAAAAAGGATAAGGGGGGAGGGGAATGAGGCAGGGATCCAGGGCCCATTCCTAGCAAAGTCAAGGGCACCAGCACCTCGATGAGGGGTCTGGCAGTCCCCGCCCTCTGCCCGCCTCGAGAGCCCAAAAGGTCGCTCCTCAGAGTAGATACCATGTGTAGAGAAGAGTGAGGACCACAGGCCAGAGCCCAACTTCAATCTTACCTTCTTATCAAACACCCACTCCTCGTCGGCATCTGCACCTCCTGGGGCTTCTGGGGGTGGCCCAGCTGGGGCCTTCTTTCCCTGGGAACAGGATGGACCGGAATTACCGATAGGGGTGCTGAGCCAGCTTTTCTTCCGTTCCCCACCGTGCCTCCCCCCATGCTCTGCCTTCTGGCCAGTGACTGGGACTTAGGACAGCAGGGAGTAGTGTCGGGTATGGTGTGGAGCAGAGCTTAACACTCATCTGATCCCACACCCCCATTGTACAGGTAGGGAAACTGAGGAAGGAGCCACAGTACCTGTGTGATAGTCTTCTGCCAGACCACAGTGGGAGCAGGGTCCCCGGAAATAGGGACATCCAGGCGTAACTTGTTGCCAGCCACAACCACAATGGTGTCTGGCATGCTGCCGGGACAGTCCAAGTGGATCTTGGGAGGCTCTGTATGGAAGGGTACAGTTCAGAGAAAAGGAGGCAGAGGAGGTACAGCGGTGCTTGGTGGATGCTGGGACCTCATGTCCCCGATTGTTGGTTTTTATCAATTCCGTCTAAGCATAATTTGTGTACAAGAAAAAGATATATGTTTCAGTATAGTTCGTCCCTATAGGATTTTTTGGTTTGGTTTAAGACAGGGTCTCAGCCAGGCATAGTGGTGCATGCCTCTAATCCCAGCACTTGGGAGGCAGAGACAAGTGAGCTAAGACAGCCTCGTCTACATAGCAAGGGCAACCAGAACTATATAGAGGGACCCTGTCTCAAAAGGCAAAAGAAAAGAAAACAACAACAAAATAAAAACCTCAGGACCTCCCTAGCCTAGTCCAGACGACCTGCCTCAGCCTCCCATGAACTGTGCAAGGTCTATGCAAAGGCACGGAGAGCAAACTGCACCTCAGTGCGGCACCCACCATCGTGACCATAACATGTGCCATTAAACGTGCACACGTGACAGGCAGGCGGGCGGGCGGGCCACAGTGTGCATACAGTCAGAGGGCGTCGGTGGAACTGGTTTCCTCCTTTACGTAGGCGCTAAAGAGCGAGCTCAGGTTCCAGGCTTATGTGACAAGCGCCTTTTCCTCTCTGAGCTTTCTCACCAGCCCCGACTTGAGACACACTGGTGTGACTACCAACCCAAACAAGATCTAGAACCTTCCATCGCGCCCAGGAACTCCCTTGGGGAGTTCATAACATCCTGGTGACCTAGGATCACACCCCTCCCGGCCTTCGAGAATACCAGATACCCTGCCAGAAAAAAAGAGGGCATACAAGTCAGGAATGCTTGTATTAAACAGGTCCAAGATCGGGGAGGGGGGCCTTCGACACACTAACCCACCTTCTGAGGTGATCAGTGTTCAATGCTTCCAAATGGACTTAATCGTGAAGACTTCCCTACGTGCGCCGAGAATGCTGAGTGACCCCACGCTGGACACCAGTGAGCTGGAGGAAGCCCTAGCCTGAGGTGGTCTCCTAAAGTTAGGATTGTGAAATGCCCAGATAAATTTTAATGGTAAAGAAAATAAGTGCTGGTGGTGGCGGTGCACACCTTTGATCCCAGCACCTGGGAGGCAGAGGCAGGAGGATCACTAGTTCAAGGCCAGCCTGGTCTACAGAGGGAGTTCCAGTCAGGACAGCCTGACACAGAGAAACCATGTCTCGGGAAAGCAAAGGAAGGAAGGAAGGGAGAGAGGGAGAGAGGAAGGAAGGAAGGAAGGAAGGAAGGAAGGAAGGAAGGAAAGGTATGTTCGACGAAAGGAGAGGCGGGCAAACACCTCACGGCGGTGGCGCCGTCCCTGAGAAGGACACGCTGTCATCTTTCATTTCAGTCCTGAGTAAATCAGGCCCAAAGAGATGACTCAGTTGGCAAAATAAGATTTGAGTTTGATGCTCAGAACCCATAAAGAAAAGCCAGATGTGCACAGTGCAGTCCTTGCGCTGGAAAGGTGGAGACAGGCGGGTGCCTGGGGCTCCCTGGGCGGCCACCTGACCTCACCCAATCAGTGGGCCCCAGTCCCAGTGAGAGCCTCAGAGTGGACAGGGCCTGAGGAATACCACCTAAGGATGACTCTGGGAGCCGCAGGCCCCCACCCCCACCCCTGTGTGCATGCGTGTGAATCCACCTGCACAGACACGAACGTGTACACACACACAGGCCAGAGAGTTATAAATGGGCCTGTGGTCATGGGTGCTGGAGATAGGTCGTGCTGGATAGATTTCCGTCCACTTGACACAGACTGTAGTCATCTGAGAGGAGGAAACCTCTATTGCGAAAATGCCTCCATGATGTCACACTGTGGGGTAGCCAGTCAGTGTCTTCTTGGTGATTGATGGGGGAGGCTCAGACCATTGTGGGTGGGGCCTCCCCTGGGCTGGGACTCCTCCTACGTTCTATAAGAAAGCAGGCTGAGCAAGCCACAAGGAGCAAGCCAGTAAGCAGCCCCCCTCCACGGCCTCAGCATCAGCTCCTGCCTCCGGGTTCCTGTCCTGCTGGAATTCCTGTCCTGGCTTCCTTCAGTGATGGACCACAATGTGGAAGTATATGCCAAATGAACCCTTTTCTCCTCAACTTGCTTTTTCGTCGTGGTGTTTTGTCACAGCAATAGAAACCCTGAGACATGGGTCTTAGGTTCAGATCTTTGCCATCCCTGTGTCTGGAGTGGGAAGGAGTCAGGGTTGGGTGGCGTGGGGAAGGAGACAAGCCTGAGTTGGCACAAAGGGTCCCGAGACTCACCCTGCCTAGGCACGAAGTCAATCTTGACCTCTGAAAGAGAAGAAGAGCAAGGAACTCTAAGCGAAAGGAAGGGCTCAGACACAGGGCATCCTGCTCATGTCCCCAGCACGCACACACACACACACACACACACGCCACACACAGCACTAGCTCACCCATGAAGTGAAGCTTGGCAGACAGGTTGCAAGCAAACCCTTCAGGCACAAAGCTGTAGTCAGCCTCGTCGTCAGGTGTGACGTCATCAATGGTCAGTTTGTGGACCCTGAAGGGCAGTGGTAAGTCAAAGGACCGCTACTGAGTCACACAATCCAGGCTTCTCCATACACCACCTGACCTCAGGAGACTGTGCCTTGCTGTGGCTCCTTGGTGTGTGTGTATGTGTTTTGTTTTGTTTTTTTTCTCTAATTTCATGTTCTCCAGCTCCCTCATGGGTTTTCTGAAGTCAACAGTGCAAGAGTCGGCACGGGGGTGGGAGGGTCATCACCATGGTGGGGACCCCTGATCTGGGTGATCTCTGTGAGCTGAGCCCAGCACAGCCCCCACAGGCTCTGGGATGAGCCAGCACCTTCCTCCTCAGTGGCCTCCTGCCGAGGCTGGGCACAGCTGAGGGCAGGGCAGGGCGCCTCACCCTGCCTGTCTCACACACTCCTTGCCTCTGTACCTCTGGCCCTCTGTCTTGGGAGACTCTCCCGTGATTTCCTCCCCTGTAATTTTGTCTTCCCATCTCTCTCTCTCTCCTGCTGTCATGCGCCGTCTGGCCTTTTCCCCTTGGCCTGCCTCGTTTTTCACTCACCGCCCAATGTGGGACACCTTTATGCGGCTGTCAGGCACCAGCTCCTTCCCGTTCTTCAGCCACACCCCGCGTATGTTCTCATCGGAAACCTCACACTTAAACACGGCCTGGTCCTTGGCGCCCACCGCCAGGTCGGCGATGCTCTGGTAGACCTCCAGCTTCTTCTCTGGGGATGGACAGAGCCTATGAGCTCAGGAGGAATGGGCTCGTAGAGTGGACCTCTGTGGGGCAGGCTGGGGGGGGGGGTGACGTGGACCAGGCCCACACGGCCCTCCTGACGCTTCCTGCAGTGCTCAAGTCAGCACACCCCCATCTTACAGACAGACTGGAAGACGAGCCCAAAGCCTGTTCCTTCCACGTGGCCAGCCTTGCTGGGGCCTGGGGCCCTCACCTTGCACAATGAGCTCAGCCAGGGCCTGGCCCCCGCTCGTGCGTACTGCGTAGTGGCCTGCGTCCCCCGGGGTCGCCTCGTTGATGATCAGGTGGTGCTTCCTCCCGTCCTTCTTGAACCGGTATTTGAAGGTCTCCTCCCGAGTCAGCTCCACCCCGTCTTTCAGCCTGACCGGACAATGGACAATGTCCCCATTCTCCAGCCCCACCTGGCCGCTCACACCCACACCCCTGCACTCACCATTTGACTTGGGCCCCTTCCTCTGAGACCTCACACTCGAATTCCACACGCTGTCCCACCGTCACCAGCTGGTCTTCCAGGGCCCGCGTGATCAGCACCGGGGGCTCTGTCCAGGGAGGGACAACATGAAGGCTGGTCCCCTGTGCTCCCCTTTCCTCCCAGGGCTCCCTGGGCCCGGGCCCACCTTTGACAAAGAGCTCCGTGCTGCACTTCTCGGCTCCCACCACACACTGGTAGGCCGCATCGTCAGCCAGCGAGCACTGGCTGATGGTCAGGGTGCGCTTGGTCCCAATGGACTCGAAGATGTACCTGGGCAGGGCACAGGGGCATGTCAGGGGAGCCCTACCGAGCTCCGTGCTCTTCACAAACCCCATGCCTGCTTCGGGCTGTCAAGGAGGACACTTACTTGCTATGAAACAGAAGGAGCCGTCGCCGTGTTCCACATAGAAGGAAGAGAGAGAGAGAGAGATGGGCTAAGTCAAATGACCTAGAATTAGGAGTGGGGAGGAGATGGGGGAAGACACAAACAGGACTAGGAGCCAGAGTCAAAGAGATAGATAGATAGATAGATAGATAGATAGATAGATAGATAGAGAGGACAGTGCAGCTCTCTCCTAACCCCAGGGCCAGACCCCGCCCACCACACCTGCCACTCATCTGGATCTCCTGTCCATTCTTAAGCCACTTGACCTCGGCGTCTGGGTCGGCCAGTTCCACAGTAAGCCGGATCTTGTGGCCTTTGTTTACCTGGTATGCAGGCTCCAGCTTCTTCTGAAAGGCTGAAGCCCACATCTCAGGCCAGCCACCCCCAATGTCCACCCCACCCCCAGGCCCAGCAGCCACCACAGGTGCCGGCATCTTCCTTGCTCAGCTGTGTCTCCCTGCCACACCCTCTGGGTTTCTGTAATGACTGTGTCTCCTCATCTCTGTTCTGTACCTATCCATCTGTTTGTCTGGCTCTGCATTGTCTTTTCTGAGGTTCCTTCCAACTGCTCAGCTCTCGGGCAGGGTTAGAGGCGTCCAGCAAGACGGAATCTTATCACGAGGACTAGGAATATAACACATGCCCTTCTCTTTCTCTTGTTAATGCCAAGCCTCATTTTAGCATCCCTACAGCTTCCATTCCCTTAGAGCTTAGAGAGACATGGCGAGTGACCTAAGGCCCCAACCCTGCTGATCTGTGGAGGAGTCTGGAGCCCAGGCCCACCTCACAACAATGGTTCCCCTTGTAGCCAGCTCTGCTGCTGAAGACTGCTCAAGCCTACGGGTACTCAGGCTGGCCTGGTTTTCCTCACTTGTTAAAGTGAACCAATACTATCCCTGTAAGGTGGTGCTGTTGGGAGAGTTAAATTAGGCAATCATGGAGAACATGCAGTGCTCCTTGCTTCGCTGCTAATCTGTCCTTTTCACGACCGCTGCTCCCTGTCTTGCCCCTAAGGGCTCCCTCAGCCCATACTGCGGGCTTTTGTGTGGCTCTCTGGCCCAGCAATTGTCCTGTGTTGGGAGCTAGCTGGCGCCTCCTCCTTTCCTGTGTGTGGGAAGGGCTGACCTGTGCTCTTCTTCTCGTCTCGCTTCATGCCCCTGAGTCTCTTCAGCATGCCTCGCAGGTCTGTGACTCCGTGCTGGAAGGCGATGCGCTCGTACTCCGATGGTGGGGCCTGTCTCAGGATCTCCCACACGTCCTCTTCAGCAGGGGCCTCCAGCTTGGAGTCCCTGTGTCCCACAGCCCACCGGGAAGCTTAAGGCAGTTCCTCTTGTCCCTTCCTGGGACAGGGGTTCCTGGACACAGAATGAGGGCCTGCCCCTGCCCCCTTCTCTTCCCTCTGCTCCTCTACCCTATTCTCTACTCCCTTCCCCTACCCTCCCTCCCAGTCTTGGGGGTTGAACCAGGGAGGTCTCGGGCTGGAGGTGCTGAAGAGGGCTCTGAGGCTGTTGGACACTCACCTCCGGAAACTGCTGCTCCAGATAAGGAAAAAGTACAGGGACACATTAGAAGTCTGGACGCCTTTCTGCCAAGACCGGGGCCCTACCCAGGGCCTCCACTCCCTCGCTCTTCCCCGTACTGTGCCCTACTTTTCAAGGCCGGTTTCTCATTCTTCTCAACACCAGAGATGGCAGCAGGCCCACTCCAAGCCCCAGGACTATCACCCTAGTGGGTGTGTGTCACCCAACCCCAGCAGAAAGGGCACCCATCCCCAAAGCTAACATCCTCCTGCCCCAGAGCCTCCCAACCCCATTCCTTACTCTCTGGGCAGGAGCAGCAGCAGTAGCCATGAAGGGTGGATGGGGGGAGAGGGAAAGAGAGGACAGAAAAGGAAATGAAGTCAGGGGGCTGGGATAAGTCCTCATTGCTACAGCTTTGGGGAGCCTCTTCCTACTTCATGGAGTCCCGAGAGTCTACGGAAATGTTCTACTCCAGATCCAATACGGGGTTTGCGGGGCACACTGAGGATGACTATCAGGACATAACTCTTTTCCACACTGGGGTCAGTCCACTTGACAAGGCAACCAGCTCAGAGAGGCGCCTCGTCTTGTTCAGGGTCACACAGCCGGGAAACCTCAATGCCATGTCTAACTCTCTGCCCTGGAAGGTGAGACCCAAGGACTCACCTCTTCTTCAGCAGGGAACTGAAGTCCAGGGTCCCGGCATCTTCATGGCTGTCGCTATGGAAAGAGACCCCATGAAGCTTCACTAAAGAGCTAGAAGGGGCTTAGGGGGAAGAGTGGGAGGAAGGGACACAGCCAGACAGGGCTCCCTCCCATCTCCGTCAAATATACTCGGGGTCTGTGGACAGGACAGTTGGAGGACAGGAGGGGGTACCTGGTTCGCCGACCTGCTCCAGCCAGGCTCCTGTGAGGGTTAGACAGCCTCTTCAGTGACCCAGGGGCTTGCCCTTGCCCCTCAGAGACTTCAGGTCACATTCTCGTGTGCCCCACCTAAAACTCCAAAGGGCCTCAGCCTCTCACGCTGACCTCCCCCAACCCCTGAGGAGAGACAGCCACTCACGTGCGGCGGAAAGCCGATCTGAGGTCTAGCTCTCCAGAACCAATGGCCTCTGTGTATAAAGAGAGTGACGTGATGGGCGTGATGGGGGGCTGTGCTCAAGGAGTGGGGCCTAGGACTCCATCTTAACTTTTCCCAGGGTTTGAGTCCAAACAGGTGGGGCAGTTTGTCATCTCAGTCTCCACAGTGGCCTTCCTCCCGCTACCTCCCAGTTCACGGTCAAACTGAGTCAGGCAGGAGACATCAACAATGGAAGCAGAGCCCCACCCCTAACTTGCTTCTAAGCCTCCCACGACCCTGAAAGCATGGCTTTCACACCTCAGGTGATCAGCGCTGCTATCTGACCACAGCTAGCTACCCTCTTTAGTGTTGGGAGACAGAGACAAGTCCAAGGGACCAGGACCCATGAGGACCACAAGACCAGACAAGACCCCAGGGCCTCCCTCACCGTGGACAATGAGGTTGAAGTTGCAGCTGTCAAATTTGTCCTTGGTAGACACCTCACAGCGGTAGCCCCCCGCAGAAGTGACCTGCGCGTCTGTGATGTGCAGCTCGAACAAGTAGACCTGTGGGCAGGGGATAAGGGAAGTCGGGCGGGCAAGGCCCTGCATTCCTGAGAAGGATGGGTTTGGCAAAGCCTGCTGACCTCACTTCTCAGGGCTAACACCTGCGGAGATTTTGTGTAATTTACAGAAAGGATCCACCTTTCAAGACCCACAGCTGGGAATTCCAAGCAGGTGGCTGTTCTTCGGAGCTGCTTTGTGCAGCGCCCAGCTGGCGTGGGTGAATAGTTCAGCTCCGCCCTGCTCCCCGGTCTTCCAGGCCTCCCCACGCCCTGTCCTCCTGAGCTCGAGGTGTCCCTGGCCAGGGGTCCCACCTTGCTGGCTCGGTCATGGCTCTCGTGCAGCTGCAGGTGCTGGCCCACCTTGCTGCTCAGGTCCACCCACTTGCCCTTGAACCACTTGACCACAGGTGGTTTCAGGAGGCTGGCCCCAGCCACGCGGGCCGAGAAGACGATGCTGCCACCTACAGGAAAGATGTGGCAGGCTGAACAGGTGCGCCGGGGCTTCCCACACCACCACTGAGTGCAGAAGCCCCCACTCACCCACAGTCACCTCGCCATCCTGTGGCCGCATCAGAAAGAGGCCAATAGGGTCCTCAGTGGCTCCCTGACTCCCTGGGGCTGAGCCACCCGGAGTTACTGAGACTGACCCTGAGAAAGAAGGCTATTTAGACCCATCCCCGGACACCCCCCGACCCCCCATTGGCCTGTCCCTCATTACCCAGTCCCCTTCACCTTCAGGACTTGAGACATTTTCTTCCAACTCAGTGGCTGGAACAGGGGCTTCTTTGGGCGCCTCTGGGGCCTCTGAAGGGGTGGGAGCTGCCTTCTCTGGAGGAGCTGAGGTGACAGCATAGCACAGTTTCTAATCAGAGGCCCCCCTACACGCACCCTCTCTCAAACAGCAGACCCGTGTCCCATCGAAGCCGCATCTCACTTGTGCAGCAGCGTCCTGGTCTCCTTCAGCCACTGGGCCCGCTCCAAGAAGAGGAGCCAACCTGCCTCTCCTCTCACCTCCACGGGCAGATGGCCGCATGTCCAGATTTCTGCTCTGGACAGCTCTGAGATCCATCTGCTCTCTCTTTTCCGGGCTCTGGCCTTGAGCCAGCACCCCCCACCGCCACCACCGCCACCACCACCGAGCTCTTAGGATTCCCGCCAACACACATAGCTAGCCAATGTCTTATCTGGGGGTGACCAGACTCAGGGCCTGCTCGGAAAGGGCTGCAGCCACCGCTAAATGCCTAGAGAGAGCTTGGCGCAGAAGAGGGGAGCGCAGTTCATGGTGGGCCTCCGGGAGAGGTCAGCAAGCTCTTACCTGCCTCCATGACCTTGAGGTCAAACTTGACCTTCGAGGAGCCCGCAATGACCGCGTAGGAACCCTGGTCGTCAGGGCCCACGTCCCGCACGGTCAGGGTGTGCCGCTTGCCCTCTGCTGCCAAACCATACTTGTCACCGGTACCGATGTCACTGCCATCCCGCTGCCACCGCACCTTCATGCCTGACCGCTCCGTCTCAGCCTCGAACACTGCATCGCTGCCTGCGGTCACCTCCGTCGACCGTGGCTTCTTGCTGAAGGCTGACCCTGAAGAGCCGGGTGGAGACGGCAGGAGCTGGGCTCCCCTGTGCTCCACTGCTGACACCCTTCCTCACAAAGACTGTGGCGCACGCTCTGAGCCTCTCGTCTAATGCTCCAATAGGTCTACAGGGTAGGTGCAGCTGTATTTATGTCTCAGGTGAGAGTCGAGATTAACTGACAGAAGATCACAGGTGAAAGGGCTCGGGCTGTTGTCCTCACCACCACACAGGATGTTCCTACCTCATGCCAGGCAGCACCAGTGGTAGGCCCAGCCCCCTCTCCCACCCTGGGGCCCTTGGCAGGGTCCCCGGCACTCTGCCTACTAGGAAGATAGCTAAATTTGTCCTCTGAGGGCTTCCGACTAGGAAGGAACAGAGATAACACTAGCCAGGGAGCAGCAGGGGCTGGGGGCTGGGTCCCTGCCCCCGTGACCTCTGCAAGGGCACAGGCCTGGTCCAGGCCTTTAGCTACAGTTTCTCTGCCCTTTGCCTGTCCTTTCCCAGACAAGAGACGCAGTGTCCCCCCAACATCTGGAGTCAGCCGTGGCGTGAGTCCCCTGGTTCAGGCTCGTGCGCAGACACTCAGAGCTGGAAGGGATCATTACCCACCCCCACCCCCCACATACTGTTCAGAAACTGAGACCAGAATGTGCTCAGAGACTCAGTGAGCTGGCTTCACTGTAGCCTAAGTCTGAGCTCCTTGAAGCAAGGACTCTGGCTGAGGAAGAAAATACAGATCAAGACAGAATGGGGCTTTGACCCTGGTAACTTAGTGGGCTTCGTAGAGTCAACTCTCAGTGGTCCTGACACTAAGTTTATCCTCGAGCTCATCAGAGGGCTGGGGAAGAAAGCGTAGAGTTAGACTGAGACCGAAGAAGACTGCCCTGTCCCTTCCTGGGATCCACAGGCTTCATCCTCCACCAGGGCCTAGCCCTTCCCACAACCTGTGAATACCACTGCCCCAGAGCCAGCCCCAACCCATGGAGCTACCTGCTTTCTTCCCTGGCTCAGGCATCTTGAGAACAGTCTCCCCAGGCACTGAGTAGGTAAGGCCACCCAAGAAGGAACTGAACAGTAGCCTGTGTCCCCAGTATTTATGAGGACCACCCCCTCCCCAGCCCTGCTTATCTGTCTCCTGCTGCCACTTGCTAAATATAGACAAATTCCATCCAGCTGAGGTATCTCCATGGAAAAGATAGGGCCGATTGGTCCCTCTGGCTTCTCCTTTCCCTCCCCCTCCCACAGCATGACTGACTGGATGGCTTCTGCTTTCCAACCCTCTGTGGACCTCGGGGGTGACCCAACCCTTGACTGTGTACCCATCCAGCAGAAAACTGCACCGTGAAGGTGTTCCTGACAATGGCCGGGAGTTAGCGTCACCCCAAGGAAGTGCCAGGCACGCCTGCAAGTGAGGGCCTGGGAGCGGATCTCTCAATATACTCCAAAGTAGAAGCCGGGAGCAGAGCTAGCTCTTACCAACGTCATGAGGACTGGCCAAAGATTAATGCCAGGAGAGTCTGAATCCCCGAATCTCCCACCCCACCTCCTCTGGTTTTGTTCTGTGACTGGACACTCAGGTTGATCAGTCGTTACAGGGAGAAAAATAAAATATGGGAATTCCCATCAAGCAACACTAGCAGAATAGACTGTTTATCATCAGAAGGAATCCATATATAAGCATCTTCCATATCACGGAAGCTTACCAGCCATGATCTCCAGCCAATTTTAGTTACTTTAAAGCCACATGACCTGCTCCTAGGTTGTGTGTGTGAGAGTGTGTATGTGAGCGTGTGTGTTAAAGCTATTACTAGTGATCCAGGTTGATCTCAAACTTATGACAATCCTCCTGCCTCAGCCTCCTAGTGCTGCTATTCCAGGCATATACCACTCTGCTTATCTCTGAGTCTTCCCGAGAATTGGTGTGGGGCTGGAGAGATGGCTCAGTGGTGAAAGCATTTGTTGCAGCTGGGCATGGTGGCTCTCGCTTTCAATCTCAGCACTTGCGAGGCAGAGATAGGTGAATCTCTGTGAGTTCGAGGCCAGCCTGCTCTACAAAGTAAGCTCCGGGACAGCCAGGGCCACACAGAGAAACTGTATCTCAAAGAACAAAAAAGCATTTGATGCTCTCGCAGAGAACCCAGGTTCTGTCCTCCCAACTATCTGTAACTCCAGCTCCAAGGGACTTCACAGCCTCTTCTAAGCTCCACAGGCACCAGGCACACACATGGTACACATACATACATGCAGGCAAAACTTTTTTTTTTTTAATGTTTAAAAACTTGTGCTTGAGCACCACCAACAAGACAGCTCAGGTGGGTACAGGTACCTGATGCCAAGCCTGATGAGCTGAGTTCAACCCCTGGGATCCTCACTTCCTGCCTGCACCTGCCTGCACTCTCCCTACACCTTGTGACTGAAGCTAGACGGCCCTTGTCTGCCTCCCCTGGTACCAAAGTGCTGTACCTGAGGATTCTGTTAACAACACCTTGTGGCCGGGCTAGAGATGGTCCAGCTGGGAAAGGCTAGGCTCGCCACCAAAACCTCCAGAATGCCAGGTGATGCCTGGAGCTTTGGACTTCACTCCTGATTTCCAAACGAGCAGAGCCTCGGCTCTGCGCTGGCCTGATGGACCCAGCCGTGTGACATTATTGAACCAATCATTTAACGGCTACGAGCCTCGGTTTCCCATTCTATAAAATGGGGGGATACGGGGCTCCTCACCTCAAAGCCAGAGGAAGCTAAATGATCAGAACACCTGCGCCATTGCTATTGGCTTGGCCACTGTCACTGCTGGGTCCTGTCTCACTCAGTAGATCATGAGTTTAAGCTTCTTTGAGATTTACGCCTCCCCGGCCTGGCTCGGAGGGACCTTTCAATATGTTCCCTGGGTCTGACAGCAGGACTTATTTTACTAGAAACAGCCACTGTGTGTCTGTGGTCCACGGGTCCAGCTTTCCATCATGTCCAGTGGATAAACGAGGAGAGAGACGTCTGTGCACCCTGGACCAGGCACACACAAACTCTTGAATGAGACTCTGTGCTGGGAGAATAGCTGAGAATAATTTTACTTGATTTTGGGAAGCTAATGGGGAGGGGGGAAGGGGGGAGGGGAGTTGGGGAAAGCCTCAAGAGGAACATTCAATATACAAAGTTGTGCTGACGCCAGACTCCCAAGGAAGCACCGTGGCCACTAAGCCAGGCTGACCCTCGGGCGGTGTCCGAGGCCCAGGCCGCCCTTGGGCCGGGCTAGAGTCCTGGTGGGAGGCGAAGCGGGACGGGGCGGGCCAGGCCGGGCGCGGGAGGGCGAGGCCGGGCCCCGAGTCCTGCCTCGGCCCTGGGAATGTCCACCCTGTGTCCCTGCCCGGCGAGGGGTTAATGCTATGGCCGGCGGGGGCCGGGAGCCTGGCGGGCCCTGCGGGAGGTCAGTGGGGCGGGAGGCGCCGCTCGGCCAGGCCCCCGCGGCCCAGCACCTCGCCGCTGAACTGGTAGGTGAGCTTCTTCTTGACTTTCTTCACCTCGCCCGTCTTGCCGTAGTTGCGCAGCGCGCGCGCCATCTTCTGGTAGGTCATCTTCTTGCGGTTGCCCTTCTGGATGCCCCAGCGGTGCGCCAGTGCCTCCTTGTGCTTGGACGAGAACTGGAAGGTGCCCTTGTCCTTGTCCACCCACCAGATGCTGTCCTTCATGTCGCCGCTGCGCAGCAGGTCCAGCAGGAACTGGTACAGGCGAATCTTCTTTTTGCTGCCTGCAGAAGAGGGGCGCCCAGGTGGGGTGTGGACAGGACGCCAGGGCTTTCCGGGCACCCTCCCAGTACTTCCTCCCGGCCATGGTAGGTGCAAGCACACACATGCCCACTCCCACGTCCTCGAACCTACATGTCACACGTACCCATACATATATCCATATCTGCTCTCACGTGTCTACATGCCTACCCACAGGCCCTCACATACAGCTACTCACACTCACAAGACCTCACACATGCACAGGCCTCCACACACTCACAGGACCTTACATACACCCACAGGCCCTCACACACTCACAGGCCTTCACGTACTCACAGGCACTCACCCACGTTCCCCCCACACTCAGTCCTTCACATAAACACATACAGTCTCCCGTTTACACACTCACACAAGTACTGACGTACACACAGAGACCCCCACACACACTTTGAAGAGATGCCTGGTCACGCACAATAAACGGACTTAGAGGCCTGCACAGCTAGAGAAGCATCCACAAACATACACACACACACACACACACACACAGCTCTGAGACATAGCTACTGGGCCAGCTGGCTATGGCTGGGAATATGCAAGGGACGAAAACGCATTAGGATCAGCTGGATCACGGGCTGAACTCTACCTGTCTCCCCGTGCAGAAGACCTGGCCCAGGCTCCAAGCCATCAGCCTCTCCGTCAGACACCTCCAGCGGGGGGCTCTGCCTCTCCCCCTCTTCCTCATCAGAGCTCTGCTGGTGGGCTGGGGACAAGGATTGGTAAGGGAAGACCATCCGGGGCACGTAGGGAACCTGCGAAGGGAGGGGGGCTTACAGTCAGTGAGGGACGGCCCAGGGCTGTGGCAGGGGATACGGTCAGCAGGACCAGGAAGACCGAGAAGGGCAAGTAGAGGCCAGCCTGGACCAACACTCAGGGCTGAGGGCAGGGTGCAATGAGCTGATAGTTACTGGGCCTGCCACCCACACACACACACACTGTGGCCTCTGGTTTGGGGCAGGTGACGGTATGTTTTATTCTCATGCATGCAAAGGGGCCACCTGGCCTGGCAGTGGACTAAGAACGGAGGGGAGGTGCTGGGGCAGTGAGCTGATTACAAGAAAGCGAGGGGGCTTCATCGGGGGGTGATGAGCCAATGAAAAGGCAGCAGAGGCCAGTGGTTGGGGTTGGGGTCCCTGGAGCAGAGAAGGGCAGGTAATGAAGATACTAGGGATCCAGGGGTCAGGCCAGGCTAGCATCTAGTGACTCAGACTCTGCGTACGTGAAGAGACAGTAAGTGGAGACTGCAGTCAGGAGGACCCCGAGGGCCACAACAGAAATGGGGTGGGAAAGGATGGCTGAGGGCTAGGAGATCATATGGGTTCTGTCCATCTTCTGTCAGGAGGTCAGCACAGCCGTTGGGGTACCAGCCACTGGCTCCATGGAGCAGGAAGCCACATTGAGTAAGAGCCTTCCTCGTCTTCCTGTGAAGCTCCCATGCCTCACCACAGGCCTGGAGGTCTGGGGGCCGGGGGACAGCCAGCAGCACGCACCTGGTGGCTGAGGCTGGCGTGGGGCGGCGCCATGGGGGTATCAAGGACATGCATCTGCTCCAGCTCCATGTGACGGTAGAGCTGCTGCAGCTGCGGGGGCTGCACGCTCTGCAGCTCCGTGAAATGGCTCTCAGGGAAGCTCTCGAACTCGCTGTGTACATGGTGTGTGGAGAAGTCCCAGTAATGATCTGTGGAGACAGCCAGGGATGAGGGGGTGAGCCAGGGAGCCAGGGCAGGTAAAGGACGTAATAACACGGTAGTCATTCAGACGGAGCAGAAAGTTTAAAGTAATCATCTCCTGTAATGTTCCTCTACCACACTGCTACTTCAGAGAAAGGACTGAGGCTTGGAGATGTCTCCTAACACACCAAGATTAAAGCCCTCAGCAATGGGGAGGTCAGATCCTGGACCACCATTCATGCCGGTGGGGTTCTCACACTTTCTCCTGCTTCCTGACTGGCCCCAGCGACCCGGGCCTCTGATCCTATGTCTGAATTCTGGCTTTGTCATTTGCTGGCTAGGTGACCTCGCACAGGCCTGGGCCTCCTTGGCCTCAGTGGACCCATCTACTAAACAGGTGGAACTGTTATTGGGAGAATACAAGGAAGCTCACGTTTGTAAGGGTTTCCAGACCCAGAGCAGGCCTCAGAAGAGCCAGTTCCTTTTCCCGCCTCTGTGACCTTCCACAGGCTCCTGACCACCTACAGTCACAGGCAAGGGTCCTTGTCACATGACCAGGGCATGACTGTAAAAGTCACGGGGCTGACATTTCTCACACACCAGTTTGTCCAAACCTGTAATGCTGCCACTGTAAAGCCAAGGCCAGCCACACCCAGGTTCCTGGGAGACTGAAGGAACAGATTTCCCCAGAAAGCCCCCGTGGGTGTCTGGTGTCTGTGGCAGGGTGGAGCCAACTCTGGGAAGCAGCCACACAGCCCTGGGAACATCTGTGGCGTGGTTTCGCCCAGCACCTTTCCTAGGAACAAAGGGACTCTTTGGGCACAATGTGGGGTCCAAAAGGAAGTATGGTACGGGGCTCAGCTGGTAAACGCTCCCACCACTAAGCCTGACGATCCGAGTTCAGCGTGAGCGCGCACGTGCACACGGGAATAAATAAACACAATCGGAAGAAAGATAAAACAATGCGGTGTGAAGAGAGGGACTACCTCATGTGACCTAAAGGAGCTTGGAAGGTGCTGGGCCAGGGCAAGTAGCCAGTAACCAGGTGACGCGTGCGTACACGCAGGCGTGTGTGTCTGTGACCTTCACTGTGTCTCACACTAACACATCCTCACTCACCTAACCTCTAAGACATGACGTATGCTTTCAGGCTGTGTACTAGATATCACAGAATTGTTTTTTATTACAGTTATGTTTCTGTTTGTTTGTTTATTTACTTACTTGGAGGAGATAAATGTGCTGTGCATGTGTGTGTGAAGGTCAGAGGTCAACTTCTAGACGTCTAGTTCCTTCTTTCCACCTCAGGGGTCCCAAGAATCAAACCCAGGTTGGGGGCAGGAAGTGCCTTTCACCCATCTTTGTCTTGGGTTTTTTGTTTGTTTGGCTGGTTGGTTTTGGTTTTTTGAAACAGGATTTCTCTGTGTAGCTCTGGCTGTCCTGAAACCCATACTGTGGACCAATCTGGCCTCCAACTCACAGAGATCTGCCTCCCAAAGGAGTATGCCACCACCACCTGGCTGTTTTTTTGGTTGGCTGGTTTGGTTTTGGGTTTTTGTTTTTATTTGTTTGTTTGTTTTTGTTTTTGTTTTGAGACAGGGTCTCCCCCTGGCTGAGTTTGAACTTGTAATCATTCCAGACTTAGCCTCTTTGAGGTTTGGGCTTACAATCCTGGCTCTTGCTTCCTTATCCCGCTAAACGGTGCTGTGCTGTGCTGTGTGAACCTAGACATTTTATTTCCACTGAGCCTCTGATTCCTCACTTAAAAGATTGTTACCAAGGCTCTGTCCACATGCAATATCTTTTGAGCCAGGCACCAACAAGAAAAAGCACGTGCCTTGGAGCTGTATCCAAAGCCTGGCTGCCACACTGACTGCTACATGGTCCTGGGCCTTGGTTTCCTCGACTGAGTGGGGGTAATAATTTATACCCATCTTATTCATACGCTGTGTGGGATAAACGAGCTGTCTAATGCGTGGGGGGTAATTAGAGTAGAACATGGCACCAGGGAAGAACATTTACTTTCACCTTACTCATATTTACTCCGAAGAGCCTGTGTTAGCACATCTGTAATTTCAGTTATCAGAAAGTGGAGGAAGAAAACCAAAGGCAAGTGAGGCATGGTGGTGCATGCCTTTAATCCCAGCGCTCTAGAGGCAGAGGCAGATGGATCTCTGTGGGTTCAAGACCAGCCTGGTCTGCATGGCAAGTTCCAGGTCACGTAGATATACTGAGACCCTGACTGAGTCAAAAACAAAGGTTTGAGGCCTGAGTCTGGAAAGATAGCTCAGCGGTTAAGAGCACTTGCTGCTTTTACGGAGAACTGGAGTTGAGTTTCCAGGACCCACAGGGCAACTCACAACCTTCTATAACTCTAGCTCCAGAAGATTCAACAACACCCTGTTCCGGATTACTAAAGCAGAAACACACACATACACACACACACACACACACACACACACACACACACACACACGGGGGGGGGAGGCAGGCAGGCAGAGACAAGAGACATAAATAAATAGTTTAAAATGTGGGTTTTTTGTTTTGTTTTTTTTAAAGTTTGAGGCCATCTTGAGCTAGAAAGCAAGATCTTATCTCAAAACAAAAACAAAAAGGCTGGGGTTACAGCATAGTGATGGATCACCTGCCTCCCACATACAAGGTCCTGGGTTCGAGCCCCAGGACCGAAACCAAAGCTCACTGAGCCTGAAAGGGCATAGCGGGGCTCAGGGGTTTGGATGGCAGGCCCAGCTGCCTCTTCAGTAGACCGCCTCCAGCACCTTCCCAGCCACTGTCATTTACCTTCACCTGCCTACCCCCCAGCCCACTCCAGCTCCAGGGCCAGAAGCTCTCTAGGTGTGGGCTGAGGGGCATCTGACCTAACTCTGTCGGGCTCCACTCCATATCTGCTAACTCACCATGCTAAGGTGGCATTTCCCAGAGCTGATGTGGATGTGACAACAGTGTGAAAGCTCTGCCATGGGGAGGGGCTGGAGAGTGGGGAGCTGGGACGTGGACTCTCCCGCTCTCAGCCTCCTGAAGGTGGTGGCCGACACCGTCTGAGCCACAGCAGTTTCAAAACCTCACCTTTCCCCTTGATTTGGGTGCCCAGGCAATTATGTAACCAACAGTCTGGCAAGCCAACTCATTCCAAATACGGGACTCCCAGAAAGAATGTCCGAGAAATCATTCAGAGAGCAAAGGTCAGCCTTTCAGGCCTCCTGATCTTTGTTTCTTGTGTCTCACTCCATAGCTCAGGCTGGCCTAGAACCTAGCATGTAGTCTAGGCTAGCCTTTAATTCATGCTGATCCTCTTGCTATATTATAGATTTGAACCATCATGCTTGGCTTTAGACAACTCTCTTTCCACATCCTCCTTCTCCTCTTTTCTTTCCTTCTTTCTTTCTTTCTTTCTTTCTTTCTTTCTTTCTTTCTTTCTTTCACAGTGTGGCTGGCCTCAGACTTGCTGTGTAGCAAAGGATGGTCTTGAAGTCTCAATCTTCCTGTGCCTACATCCCAAGTGCCAGGATTAGAGGTATGCGCCACCACACCCGGCTTGGAACTCCTCACAGATGCAGTGTTTAACTTTTTTTTTTTTGTCGATTTATTGTACCACTTCTGCCTAGAAGCCACCCACACGCCATTAACATAACTCTCAGCTCATCAGATGATATCATCATGTTATTTACATATCTGGTGTGGTGGTTTGAGAATGTCTCCTATGCTTGAATGCTTGGTCAGAGGGAGAGGCACCACTGGAAGACATGACCTTGTTGGAGGAAGTGTGTCACTACACAGGCGGACTTTAAGGTCAAGCTAAGAACACAGCAAAGCACAGTCTCATTGGCTGCCTGAGGATCAAGATGTGGAACTCAGCTGGGTACAAGGGCACATGCCTGTGATCCCAGCACTCAGGGAGGCAGAGGCAGGCAGATCACTGTGAGTGTGAGGCCAGCCTGGTCTACAAAGCAATTCCAGGACAGCCAAGGCTACACAGAGAGACCCTGTCGTCAAAAACCAAACAGAAAGAAAGAAAGAAAGAAAGAAAGAAAGAAAGAAAGAAAGAAAGAAAGAAAGAAAGAAAGAAAGAAAGAAAAAAAGAAAGAAAAAAGAAAGAAGAAAGAAGAAAGAAGAAAAGATGTAGAACTCTTAGCTCCTTCTCCAGCACCACGTCTGCCTGCCTGCCTCCATTCGGCCCACCATAATGATAATGGACTAAACCTCAGAAACTGTAAGCCATCCCGATTGAATGTTTTTTTGTTTTTTTGTTTTTTTTTTTATAAGAGTTGTGTTGGTCGTGGTGTCTCTTCACAGCAATAAAACCCAAAGACATCTGGTGATAGCTCTTTTCTACGGCCTGAAGGCACCCACCATGCAGAAAGTCTCAGTGCTTGATGGGGTCGCTGGTGCTGACTTACAGTGAATTCATTCTAGGAATGTAACCCACTTTATCTCCTTAACCCCTACTTTAGCTCTGAGGAGCTAGATGCTAGAGTGGACCCTTCCTTTGGACAGTGAAGGAAGCTGTGACTCAGGAGGTTAGGTCCTGCCTTTAATCCAGCACTCAGGAGGCAGAGGCAGGTGGATCTCTGTGAGTTCAAGGCCAGCCTGGTATGCATAGCAAGTCCCAGGACAGCCAAGACTACACAGAGAGACCTTATCTCAAAACTTAAAAAAAAAAAAAAATGTTAAGTTTCTGTCTACATCAGCCTCCAGTAGTGTAGGGTCATGGCCCAAACCCACTTTAGTGTAATTCCAGGGGCTTTTACTGCACTCCAATCTTTAGCTCTTACCACACTGTGCCAGCTTTGGAGATCAAGGCTATTAATGTAAGTAATGTGAGCTTTAAGAAGACCTATGGTGGGCTGGAGAGATGGCTCAGAGGTTAAGAACACTGGCTGCTCTTCCAGAGGTCCTAAGTTCAATTCCCAGCACCCACGTGGTGGCTCACAACCATCTATAGTGAGATCTGGTGCCCTCTTCTGGCCTGCAGGTGTACAGAAGACCTATG